AATATAGAAACAGATATTAAAAACACATTTAACCTTTGACCTAGCATTCTTTACCTGGGGTGTATCCCCCAGAAATAAAGACTTAGGATATGGAGATCTGTGGATCCACGTTTATTGCAGCATTATTTATAGAGACAGAAAGTAATAACAAAGTGATAAACAAACGGGAAATTATGAAATAAATTATAGAACATTTACAACAAGGGATTATTTCACAGCTATTAAAAATAATGGATTAGAACTGTGCTACCTGACAAAGACAGTTCCATAAAGTATTATTGATGAGAAAGCTTAGTAGTAGAAAGTATGTATGATAAGAAAAATAATGTGTAAGATTGGAAAGTAAAATTGGCAAAAATCCCCAGTTGGTCTTGCAAACACACAGACACACAGATGCGTATTAGTGTGCATATATTGGTACTTAGTACATAAGCATGGACAATATATGAAGGATATCTGCCTGGTTGTTATGTTTGCTATCTTGTGAGAGGGAATGGGGTTGGGGGGGGGCAAGTAAAGATAGACAAAAGAAAAAAAACTGCCGCAAAATGCCCAATATAATCTTACTGATGTAAAATAATGTGTGTATATATAGATAAAGTAGTTACAAAAGAACCCAACAGATAGTATAAATTTATATTGAGTAACCTGTACCATTTTGTGATGGGTTACCAAGGGGGAAAAATCAAGTTACAGACTAACACATATAATAACATTCTGTGTGAGAAGTAAAGTTCCACGTATATAATTGTAAATGCCTATGTTTAAAGGAGAAGGGGATATAAGGCTATATACATCAGGCTGTATTTGTTTATTCCTGAATGTAGCAGAGGTGAAGATGGTGTTAGAGAAGAGTAGAGATGAGTAGAAGGGAGGGGATTATATTTGTCTTTATCCAACTTTGCACTGTGTTGTTTCACTTTGTACAATAAGCATTTATGTATTCATTACCTACTGCTGTGTAACAAACTACCCCAAACTTAGCAGTTTAAAACAAGAAATATTTGTTCTTTTTACAATTCTGCAGGTTTACTGGTAGCTCTTCTGATCTGGACTGTCTCAGTTGGCTCAACGGGAGAATCACTCTTGTGTCTTGGTTGTTGGCTTGGTGTCCCTGATGTGACAGAGATCAGTTGGCCATGTGTTAGTCATCACTTAGCAGGCTAGCTCAGATAAGCATCAGAATAGTCACAGGACTACCAGGAGCAACAACAAGGCAAGCTCCAATGTGGAAGCACTTTATAAGCATCTGTTTGTAACGCATATGTCAATGTCATATTGCCCAAAGCAAGTCACAAGATCCAAGGAGGAGTCCTAACAAAGGGCACAGTAGAGAGAAAATAATAATGTGGAGGCATTTTTACAACCTATCAAAATGTGTTGCCAACTATTTCTGTTATCATTTTGTTCATTTTTGTTCTTCATTCCCATTGAAAGCAACATGATTCAGGCGCTCA